CAAGTCACTGGAGGCATTTAGTAGGGTCAACATTGTAAGAAATCTGGACGTGAAAGTGAAACAAAGTGTCTGTCAGAGGGGCCAGATTTTAATTGGAAACTAAATTTAATTTTAGAGAAAGAGGAAAATACCACACTTCTAATGAGATCCAGGGCACTTCAGAGAGCAGCCTGCAAAGAATATTTAAATAGAAAAGTCCTGTTCAGAAAGGCCTGTAGTGAATGACTTGGTGCTGTAGGTTGATAAGTACACATGAGTTCATGCCTCACAAATGAGAAACCATAAATGAAACATACTGATGACTTAAAGTAAGATCTTGAGTTTAATCCTAACTTTGACCAGGAAACACTCATTGTCACTTTGTTCTATTCTATAAGATGTTTGGAATGGTTTTCTTAATGTGAAAGTAGCAAACAATGATTGGAAAATTTCACCTGAAAGAGATGCTTTTAACTAAAAAACAAATTAATGAGGTGGAGGAGAGGACTGTTTGGTTTTGGTTTGTTGGGTTTTTGTTTTTGGTTTTTTTTTGGAAGTCAGATTCTACATTTTGAAATTGTTAAGGATGTGCAAGACAGTACAAATGCTGGTATTTACAAGTAAGCTTTGAGAAGTGAGAGTGATGTTTTTCAGGTAGTCTGCTCAAATGAGGTAAAAACTTGAGCTCAGATTCTGACCCTTAGGTAGTCATTTGAGGAAGATGCAGTTTCTATGCTCCATGCATGGCCACAGCTAGGGGAAAGGAAGGAAGGATGGCAGTTTCCTATCTCTGCCTCTTCCAGCGTCCACAGTCCTGAGAGTGGGGGGGTGGGGGGAATACAATGACTTTATGGGATCAAAGCCAGTCTTTATTCTCTCAGTGCCAATGAGAAGCAGAGAAAGGAAGTTTTCCTTTCCTATTTCACCAAGTGTACTTACATCCCTTAAGAAAGCTGAAAAATGTTTGGATGGAGGAAGAGGATAATATGATCTTTCCTCCCTCAATCTCTTCTCTTCTTAACCAGTGGTTTGAACCTGTTTTCTCAATGTAGCAGCATCTTGAGGTCCGACACCTTACTTTTTCTTGTGCTGCAACAGTGAGGCTGAATAAATCAACCAGACCTGATGAAATCAAACATTTCAGGCCAGAGATCCACAGGAAATAAAAGTAATGTCTGTCTGCATACCACACATCAGATCTCACTCAGATTTTTTTTTCTAGCTGAAGTGCCCTTATGTCTGATTTGGGTGGGTTATCTCTGTATGAAGGAGCATGGCACAACAAAAAGCAATGAACTACCAGATTTGCAGTCACTTCTTTGCAGCTGAGCTAATTTTCTCCCTGCTGTAGAAAGAGAAGGAAATGATACGTGAAGAAACCTTTTCTGCCTTCCATCCATCTTATATCAGTGGATAATGAAATTTTTCAACTGATTAGCTGCCCCATTGGTTGGAAAATTTGGAAGCAATCATGCAATTATATCACGAAACCTCAGTCATGTATATTCAGCCAAGTAGAGAAACCAAACTATTAGCAAAAATAGAGAAAGAGAAGAAACGGGAAAGAAAGAAAAAAAAAAAAAAAAAAAAA